ATCTGGACTTTGGGTCATCCCTTACGCCACCACCTCTTCCATTACTATCGAATATTCCGCTGCCTACTGTGATACCATCTACTTTTCCACTTTGTGTATACTCTCGTCGTCCTCAACGATCAACTGATGTGCCCGTACCGTCTTCCTTGCTGTCTCCTGATCCTGATCGTGTACCCTCAGGTAATTTTGACTCTTCACCTATTACTCTACGAAAAGGTACTCAATCGTGTATTTCTAACCATCTCATTGCTCATTTTGTTTCATATGATGCCTTGTCTCCTACATTCTCTTGTTTTACCTCTCAACTGTTTACTAGCTCTGATATCATGTTAAGTTTAGAGAGTTAACACAATATTAGATAAAGACGAAGAGTGGTCAAAACTTAAGTTACTTCTCACAAACTACTTGTATTTATAGTTAACTTGTAACCATACAAAAAACGNGTTGACTGCTTCAACTATACAGAGATTTTTTTAATCAACACACACTCTTACAGTACTTTCCTATAGTAGTAAACTCATATGGCTACTCCATGTAGACCTCTTCAACCAAATCACTATGTAAGAAGACATTCCTGATATCCAACTGAAATAAGGGCCAATCAACATTAGCGGTCAAATAAATCAATATACGAACAAAAGATATTTTAGCAACAGGAGAGAAAGTCTCCTCATAATCAATATCATAGATTTGAGTAAAACCCTTAGCAACAAGATGGGCTCTTAGCAACAATATGGGCTTTGAGATGTTCCACGAAACCATTCGGATTAAATTTAATAGTGTACACCCAGTGACAAACTGATTGAGCAAAAGTAACAGTGGAACGGCATGCTGCTGAGACAGAAACTGAGTATATTCCTCTCGAGTAAGGTTAACTGACTCAGAGTCAAGTGGAGTCGACCGAGGTATAGAAGCAACAACCGAGGTGTCATCCTGATAGGAAATCTGATTAGCAACACTCGAAGGCTTGGCAAATGTGTTTTTCTTGGATAGTCCCGCACACAGAAGAAGTATCGTTGGTATAGTCTTCTCTTTTGTCAGTACTTCACTATTGCTGATGTCACTTTTGATAAATCTGTTTCGTAGTTTATGGCACCTGCCTAGCCTCAGGATCTGGACTTTGGGTCATCCCTTACGCCACCACCTCTTCCATTACTATCGAATATTCCGCTGCCTACTGTGATACCATCTACTTTTCCACTTTGTGTATACTCTCGTCGTCCTCAACGATCAACTGATGTGCCCGTACCGTCTTCCTTGCTGTCTCCTGATCCTGATCGTGTACCCTCAGGTAATTTTGACTCTTCACCTATTACTCTACGAAAAGGTACTCAATCGTGTATTTCTAACCATCTCATTGCTCATTTTGTTTCATATGATGCCTTGTCTCCTACATTCTCTTGTTTTACCTCTCAACTGTTTACTAGCTCTGATATCATGTTAAGTTTAGAGAGTTAACACAATATTAGATAAAGACGAAGAGTGGTCAAAACTTAAGTTACTTCTCACAAACTACTTGTATTTATAGTTAACTTGTAACCATACAAAAAACGTTATACCTTGTAGTGGTATACTTATTACAACTACTATTTACATAATATGCTTAACAAAGTTGAATGGGCTTCCACTGAGGCTATCAAATATTGTAGTGGAGATTTCGGGTTCAAGGGACTTGAATCTTCATCAGTTTGTTTTAACTATCATATGCTAGCCATTGAGCATTATGACCCTCATAGCATCAGTTTAGCAATGTCTTTAAATCCAATGTTTAAAAGAACCAGACGGTCAGCTGTGTCAACCCTTGGGCTAAGTGATTGAACTTAAACCAACCATCAAAGTGGCTCAATTTCGTTTCCAGTTCTGATAACTGTGAGCATCAGCTTTGTTGCAGAAAAATGTTGTGCTTTTGAAAAGTATTGTCAGACCTGTATCCAATTATGATATGTCCTGAATTCTGCACCACCTATGTCCATTGGGATGGAACAATCATTAGGATCACACTCTTGATTAACCAACTAAATATCATTACCGATTGGTTTACAGAATATAACTTGTAAATGCGTACATGCAAGAGAAATGAGAGTCTCTCAGACTGCATTCTAAAGCACAACTGGGCAAACACTTGAGCACCTTTTATTTTATGAGTTGTATGGGCAGGCACATTGCTTGCATGTATTACATTGTTTTTCATGGCTACATGAGTGAAACATCCGAATTCTGCAAAATACTTGATATCCCCCTTTTTTTTCCTTCTGATTCCTTCTTTCACCTTGTGCACACGGATGGTGAAAATCTAATAAAACCTGGCATGATTAACGGTAAGTTTGTTACTTATTTTTATATAACATACAGGAGTATCTGGTTTGAAGCCGCTACTGTTGTTGCCGTTGCACCACCTGTTGAAATTCCTGCTGGAAGTGTTTTGAAATCTGCATTGGCAGGAGGCCTCTGTTCTGCACTGTCTACTTCTTTAATGTATCCCATCGATACAATAAAGGCAATTTCTTGTGCTTGAAAATTTAGAATCACTTGTTATACTTACATTTCCATTTTGGATGGCTTACCTTGCCATTGATATGACATAATGACAATTCAAATCGTGGTTAAGTATCATGTGATCATTTATTCAAATAAAATCAGTATTTGGACAAGATATGACATAGGTGCTAACCAGTGATAATAACAGCAATGCTTTAACTAGATCTGCCCTTGATTTGTAATTTTTCTTCTTGTCATGAAACATAGAAACCTTTTGTGGACCAGCTTTGCATGGAAGCACTTATGCTGGATGAGATATAGTAAGACATTAATCATAAGCACTTAAACTGCTTTTGAGTTTTGTCACAAAGGCTGCTGGTAAAGTTCTTCATATTTCCATAGATTTTTTTTTGATAGGAAACACAATTTTATTAAAAGAAAAATAGCGTACATGTGAAACTCATGGATGGACAAGTAATCCATCCAAGATACAATCCATAAAAAACAGTACATAGAGAAAAAGCAAACAAATCAATCACAAGTTGCCTTTCAATTCGCCAATATTCCAAATAGAGGGATATTTACAAACTCCTTTGAAACTGATGCCCCAAAAGTTGCTAGAAAGTGAATTCGGTTCCAAAGGCCATCAAACACTTCATACTTATCCTAAAAAAATTCTTGAATTTCTCTCCAACCAAATCACCCAAATACTTGCAAAAAACAACACATTCCTAAAGAGTGCTTCCCGTACTTTTCCTTCCAAATCCTTTATAATCCACACACAACATAGTTGAGATTGAATTTGGAACCACCCAAGAAAGCCCCGTCATTTCAAACAACTTATTCCATAAGGCCAATGCAAAAACAAATAGTTCACATTCTCGCAATCCTTTTTGCACACAACACACCATCTAGGAGAGAGACAAGTATGAGGTCTCCTTTTTTGAAGCAAATCATTACTGTTAAGCTTTCCATGAGCAATGACCCATGCACCTTAGCCTTCCATATCTTCAAAGATAGATAAAAAATTGGGAGAGTGATGTCATCAATCAAAGAATCAAAGTAAGATTTACAAGAGAACAAGCCTGTTGAATCAATGATCCTAAATCTCTTAAAAAAAAAAAATCAATGATCCAATTTCTTTTTTAATTAACTCAAGATGCAAATTTAAATTACCAAATAAAGAAAGAAGTGGGACCAATTCCAAAGTTTCCCTATCGTCAAGACTCTTACAGAAACCAAAGTCCCATGCAATCGGATTAGAAAAAGATCCAACCATTGATGTAATACGGGAGTGATGATAATATGAAAGGCTATAACGCCGAGGAAATAAAACAAGATAAGGTTGACCCCCCAATCCACAAGGCCTCCCAAAATCGTACTCTTTTCCCATTTTCCACAACAAAACTAACCTTTTGAGAAAATGATGGTAATCCTTGGGAAATGAATTTCCATGGATTTCGGAAGCTACCTCTTTCAACCCTATTAGCATTCCATTCATTAGTCAACAAACCATACTTACTTCTAATAACCAAATGCCACAATGAATTTTGCTTCGACTGGAATCTCCAAAGCCATTTTCCAACAAGAGCTTACTTTGATTTTTGTGCAGAGTTGGAATTCAGAGTGAATGTGCTAGAGATTTGAAACATACTGGCATGGTGATTTTTATACGTATCACTTCACCGCGTTGAGGATGTTGTGTATTGGTTCCGCCCACATGGGGCTATTCGATAAAAGAACGGTATGGGCCTGAAGTAAAATATAACCCTGTCGAAGCTTTAGCTCTTCTCGTCAGAACGCGCCTGCCCGAACAGCGTAATTGCTCTTCTTTGTCGGCACATTGACCGTACCACAAAGTGCTACTGAAACGAATTATGCTTTTGCCCGGTCAACACCTAACTTAGGGTTTGTAGACTCTAGAGCTTAAATTGCAACCCGTGTCTCTGTACCATTGGTGATTATGCTAATCATTTGCATATGTTGGTATAGTCCAATATATAATCATTGGGTCCACTATAACTATAAGACAAAGTCAAAGTAAGGTAGACCTTAACGTGGTAGGTGGTCCGCAACCCTTTGACCATCACTTGCAACCACTAGTTTTTGTTATCCTCAGGAGTGGCACCTCATAATGGTAATGGAAGATGTCTCATGAAGCCACCCCTTGACTAGTGAATGGATGTTGGTGGATCTCATTTCTGGTGTATCGCCTTTGATAGAAACATATACCCTTGCCGATGCCTAGTCCTAGACTAGTATTATGGAAGATATATGATATAACAAAGGGATAATTACTATGATACCCCTATTGGATGCATCACAAGAGGTACACACAGCCTGTAGTCTTGCATCCAAATTGTCCTAAGTTCAAACATCTGTTATTTTTGACTTGAATAGACCTAACTCTGCACCCACACAAGGCTCTTCTTTATTATCACCTTCTCTCTCCAATTACACTCCCTCCCTCACACACACACTTTTCCAGCAACACAAACACAGAGGAATTCACCTTCTCTGTTATGAAAGAAAATATCATCATCATCACAACAACAATTACAAACACAGTAACTGTTAGGAATACCCCATCACAAAAAAATGCAAAATCCATTACCACCAAAATGGCCATCCAAAAATCACCAACCACATCAATCACAACCACCATTGCTCCCACAACCTCTTCATTTCATCAACTCAACTACCAATATAATTCCCACATTCCACCATCATTAACATTGCCTCCCCCAATCATGAACCCCAAAAACCACCACCACCTCATTTCATCAATTCAATCACAAACAGAAACACCCCCAATCAGCCACCACGACCATGCTTCCTAGTTGTGATAACACACTGTCAAGTCAATCTTATTGAATCCAATGTCTTCTGGACATTACAAAAAATCTATTGTAAAAGATTACCAAAATGTTCATTATATATATTTTTTTATATATAAAATGGTTTGATGCCAACTCATTTATCGTGCCACCATATTGTGTTAGTTCCCTTTATCTACAGCCACTTGCTATGTGTCATGGGCTTTGCCCTTCCGCCATTGCCAGTGTTCCCTTGAATCAGAGGTGGGACCATTTTTCATTGACAATTTGCTATGAAGCATGGACACTCTCAAGAAGGTGGCGTATCTGTGTTGGACATTTTTCGGACACATGTCCGATATTCTTTTATATGTGTCCATACTTAAATTATAAAATTCTAATTTTGGACACGTGTCCGATATTTCTTTGGTGGCGTGTCCGACACTTGTTTAGACCATAAACAATAATTGTATTAATAAGTGATTAACAAAACTTTTAAATTTAACTAATAAGTGTCTTATATTATGAAAAAACATGTAATTATTAACACTAGACATGTTAAAATTGTAATCAAAATATAACAATAAAAGTAAAGATGCATAAAAGTTCTAAAAAAGAGAAATTAAGAAAATAATAGCAATCATTTAAATTATATATGTTGGATATATGTTGTCTACAAAAAAAATTGATGATTATTGACTATTATGATGCTTTAGTTTAAAAAATCACACTAGATGACTAAACATAACATTTACAATTTTTCATGAATAATATATCATTATCACTATATTTGCAATAAATTATATAATTTTATATATAAAACACAATTATCTATAGCGTGTTCCCAACGTGTCTGTGTCTCACTTTTTTGAGAAATGTCGTGTCGTATCAGTATCCTGTGTCCATGTCTGTGTTTCTTAGACAATTTGTGAAGCTTTGAGTGTATTTAGTGTTGAGTAGAGTTGCTTGTTCCCCAGTTGAAGCTGAGGAGTACGCTAGTAAACGTGCGTCGTTGAGTCGCTCGTATGTTTCTGGAAGAGTAGGAGGCTTGAGGAGAAAAATGACAAAGGAAAGAAAAGGTGGTGGTGGAATGGTGACAAGAGAGAGCGAGAGAGAGAGAGAGAGAGAGAGAGAGAGAGAGAGAGAGAG